CCCCTGTTCTGATTTCCTGGAGTCCTACTGGTTTCCACTGTAAATACCTCTTTAAATCTTGTGTTGAGCTCCTGACATACCTCTTGGTCGTTTCTTGTGAATTCCCCATCACCCTTTCTCAGTCTGATTACCTGGTCCTTGACTTGTTTTCCTCCTGATGTGGCTGTACAACAGCTTCGGGTCAGTCTTTACTTTTGATGCTATGTAATTTTCATATTGTCTCTGAACCTCCCTTCTTATCTGTGCATATTCGTTTCTGGCTCTTCGGCTGATTTCTTTATTTTCCTGAGTTCTCTGTCTTCTGTACCTTTTCCAATCTCTAGTACACCTAGTTTTTGCCTCCCTACACCTTTGGGTGAACCAAGGACTCGTTCTGTTCTTCCCATTATTTCTGTTTCCCTTGGGAACAAACCTCTCCTCTGCCTCCTTGCATTTTGTTGCCACATAGTCCCTCATTTCTTGTACTGGTTTTCCTGTCAGTTCCCTCTCCCACTGAATGTCTTGAAGGAAGTTCCTCATGCCTGAGAAGTTCCCCCTTTTGTAGTTTGGTTTTTCCAGCCTATTCCTGCTACTCTCTCCACTTGGAGCTCAACTATGTAGTCGAAGCACAGAACCACATGATCACTAGCTCCCAGGGGCTTTTCATACATGATACCCTCGATGTCCGAACTACTCAAGGTGAATACAAGGTCCAGTCTTGCTGGTTCATCCTCTCCTCTCTCTCTGGTAGTGTCTCTAACATGTTGATGCATGAGGTTTTCCAGTACCACATCCATCATCTTGGCTCTCCATGTTTCGGGACCCACATGGGGCTCCAGGTTTTCCCAGTCAATCTCCTTGTGATTGAAATCACCCATAACTAGTAACTTTGCTCCCCCCATGTGTGCTCTCCTGGCCACCTCGGCTAGTGTGTCGATCATTGCTCTATTGCTCTCATCGTATTCTTCTCTTGGCCTCCTGCAGTTCTGTGGTGGGTTGTACATTACTGCAATTATCACCTTATGTCCCTCAGACTGGATTGTTCCTACTAAGTACTCCCTTTCGCCCGTGCCATCCATTCCTTCCATTTTCTCAAAACCCCACTGGTGTTTAATGAACAGTGCAACTCCTCCTCCCCCTCTCCTCCCTCTGTCTTTCCTGAGGATTTGATATCCGGATGGAAAGATTGAATCTGTTATTATTCTGGTGAGTTTTGTTTCTGTGAGTGTTATTATGTCTGGGGATGTCTCCTTGATTCTTTCGTGCCACTCCTCATACTTGATTGTTCTTCCATCTGCATTTGTATACCACATCTTCAACTTCTTTTCTAAGACTGTTGTCTGGGAGGTATATTGGGGTTGGGGAAGTGGGAGACCTGGTAAGGAACTATGGGTTGTTGCTGTGGGGGTGGAGTTTGTAATGTAGTGGGTGGGGGCATTGGATGTGGCATGGGTGTTTTGATTTAGAGTGTTTGGTTGCACTGGGGTTGACCTGGTTGGGAGGCTTCTATAGGAAGTTGTGAGGGAGACTGTATTTGCTGTTCTTCCTGGTTCTGGGATCTCCTGTCTGTCTTCTCCATCCCCTCTCTTTCCTCCTTTCGCCTTTGTACCATCTCTCTCAGATTCTGCCTTTCTTCTTGTGTTCTGTTGCGGTCGAGATACACCTTCCTGTATGCCAGCATGTGTGTGTGAGTGTGTGTGTGTATGTATGTGTGTGTGTGAGTGTGTGTGTGTGTGTGTGTGTGTGTGTGTGTGTGTGTGTGTGTGTGTGTGTGTGTGTGTTTGTACTCATCGTATTCTTGTGTGTGTGTGTGTGTGTGTGTGTGTGTGTGTGTGTGTTTGTGTGTGTGTGTGTGTGTGTGTGTGTGTGTATGTGTGTGTGTATGTGTATGTGTATGTGTGTGTGTGTGAGTGTGTGTATACTCACCTAGTTGTACTCACCTAGTTGAGGTTGCAGGGGTCGAGTCCAAGCTCCTGGCCCCGCCTCTTCACTGGTCGCTACTAGGTCACTCTCCATGAACCATGAGCTTTATCGTACCTCTGCTTAAAGCTATGTATGGATCCTGCCTCCACTACATCGCTTCCCAAACTATTCCACTTCGTGACTACTCTGTGGCTGAAGAAATACTTCCTAACATCCCTTTGATTCATCTGTGTCTTCAGCTTCCAACTGTGTCCCCGTGTTGCTGTGTCCAGTCTCTGGAACATTCTGTCTTTGTCCACCTTGTCAATTCCTCTCAGTATTTTGTAAGTCGTTATCATGTCCCCCCTATCTCTCCTGTCCTCCAGTGTCGTCAGGTTGATTTCCCTTAACCTCTCCTCATAGGACATACCTCTTAACTCTGGGACTAGTCTTGTTGCAAACCTTTGCACTTTCTCTAGTTTCTTAACATGCTTGGCTAGGTGTGGGCTCCAAACTGGTGCCGCATACTCCAATATGGGCCTAACGTACACGGTGTACAGGGTCCTGAACGATTCCTTATTAAGATGTCGGAATGCTGTTCTGAGGTTTGCCAGGCGCCCATATGCTGCAGCAGTTATTTGGTTGATGTGCGCTTCAGATGTGCATGGTGTTATACTAAGCCCAAGATCTTTTTCCTTGAGTGATGTTTGTAGTCTCTGGCCCCCTAGACTGTACTCCGTCTGCGGTCTTCTTTGCCCTTCCCCAATCCTCATGACTTTGCACTCGGTGGGATTGAACTCCAGGAGCCAGTTGCTGGACCAGGTCTGCAGCCTGTCCAGATCTCTTTGTATTTCTGCCTGGTCTTCGATCGAGTGAATTCTTCTCATCAACTTCACGTCATCTGCAAACAGGGACACCTCGGAGTTTATTCCTTCCGTCATGTCGTTCACAAATACCAGAAACAGCACTTGTCCTAGGACTGACCCCTGTGGGACCCCGCTGGTCACAGGTGCCCACTCTGACACCTCGCCACGTACCATGACTCGCTACTGTCTTCCTGACAACATTCCCTGATCCATTGCAGTGCCTTCCCTGTTATCCCTGCTTGCTCCTCCAGTTTTTGCACTAATCTCTTGTGTGGTACTGTGTCAAACGCCTTCTTGCAGTCCAAGAAAATGCAATCCACCCACCCCTCTCTCTCTTGTCTTACTGCTGTCACCATGTCATAGAACTCCAGTAAGTTTGTGACACAGAATTTCCCGTCTCTGAAACCATGTTGGCTGCTGGTGATGAGATCATTCCTTTCTTGATGTTCCACCACTCTTCTCCTGACAATCTTTTCCATGATTTTGCATGCTATACATGTCAGTGACACTGGTCTGTAGTTTAGTGCTTCATGTCTGTCTCCTTTTTTAAAGATTGGGACCACATTTGCTGTCTTCCATGCCTCAGGCAAACTCCCTGTTTCGATAGATGTATTGAATATTGTTGTTAGGGGTACACATAGTGCCTCTGCTCCCTCTCTCAAGACCCATGGAGAGATGTTATCCGGCCCCATTCTCTTTGAGGTATCTAGCTCACTCAGAATCCTCTTCACTTCTTTCTCGGCTGTGTGTACTGTGTCCAGCATTTGGTGGTGTACCTTACCACTCATTCTTTCTGGAGCCCCTTCTGTCTCCTCTGTGAACACTTCTTCGGATCTCTTGTTGAGTTCCTCACATGCTTCACGGTCATTTCTTGTTGTCTCTTCTCCTTCCTTACTTAGCCTGATTACCTGGTCCTTGACTATTGTTTTCCTCCTGATGTGGCTGTATAACAGCTTCGGGTCAGATTTGAATTTAGCTGCTATGTTGTTTTCATATTGTCGTTGGGCCTCCCTTCTTATCTGTGCATATTCATTTCTGGCTCTACGACTGCTCTCCTTATTCTCCTGGGTCTTTTGCCTTCTATATTTCTTCCATTCCCTAGCACACTTGGTTTTTACCTCCCTGCACCTTTGGGTGAACCATGGGCTCATCCTAGCTTTTTCATTATTCCTGTTACCCTTGGGTACAAACCTCTCCTCAGCCTCCTTGCATTTTGTTGCTACATATTCCATCATCTCATTAACTGGCTTCCCTGCCAGTTCTCTGTCCCACTGAACCCCGTTCAGGAAGTTCCTCATTCCCGTGTATTCCCCTTTCTTGTAGTTTGGCTTCATTCGTCCTGGCCTTCCTGGTTCCCCCTCCACTTGTAGCTCTACTGTGTATTCAAAGCTTAAAACCACATGATCCCTGACCCCATGGAGCCTTTCATATGTGATGTCCTCAATATCTGCACTACTTAAGGTGAATACTAACTCCCTTGTGTGTACGTCGTAGTGTGTACTAACTCCCTTCTGTGCACTACGTAGTATGTACTAACTCCCTTGTGTGTACTACGTAGTGTGTACTAACTCCCTTGTGTGTACTACGTATTATGTACTAACTCCCTTGTGTGTACTACGTAGTGTGTACTAACTCCCTTGTGTGTACTACGTAGTGTGTACTAACTTCCTTGTGTGTACTACGTAGTATGTACTAACTCCCTTGTGTGCACTTAGTAGTGTGTACTAACTCCCTTGTGTGTACTACGTAGTGTGTACTAACTCCCTTGTGTGCACTACGTATTATGTACTAACTCCCTTGTGTGTACTACGTAGTGTGTACTAACTCCCTTGTGTGTACTATGTAGTGTGTACTAACTCCCTTGTGTGTACTACGTAGTGTGTACTAACTCCCTTGTGTGCACTACGTAGTGTGTACTAACTCCCTTCTGTGCACTATGTAGCATGTACTAACCTCCTTGTGTGTACCACGTAATTGTACTAACTCCCTTGTGTGTATTACGTAGTGTGTACTAACTCCCTTCTGTGCACTATGTAGCATGTACTAACTCCCTTGTGTGTACTACGTAGTGTGTACTAACTCCCTTGTGTGCACTATGTAGCATGTACTAACTCCCTTGTGTGCACTACGTAGTGCGTACTAACTTGTGTGTACTACGACGTGTGTACTAACTTCCATGTGTGTACTACCACCCCGAGGGAATGTACTGTCTTTCATATGTATGTACTAACTTCTTTGTGCTTCTGTTTACAGGTATGAAGTGTACAATGTGGACGTGTGGCTTCTGTTAACGGTCGTAACAGTGCTGATCATCTGCCTCTTCTGTTGGATTGTTCACACTGTTGCCTCCCGCTTCTGTTTTCCCAGCGTCAAGCACAAACAGGAATAGTCTGCTTCTGTTGTTCCACTAGAAAGTGTGAACAGGAATATTCGACTTCTGTTGATCCATTGCAAAGTATAAACGGGAAGAATTGATTACTTTTGTTCCACTAGGAAGCATAAACAGGAATACTGGGCTACTGTTGCCCCATCAGTAAGAACAAACAAGAACAAACAACAAACAAGGAAGAGTCCGGCAGGAACCAAAAATCGTCTTGTTTGCAACAAGAGACACGGTGGGAAACAAGCTTTTATCCGGGCAACATTTCGCCCTGTGAGGCACATCATCACACCTTGATATTAAGTTCTACACGGAGCGAAACATCGCCAGAATAACGACATGCTGTAATTACCAGTCACCTTGTGCTCGATACGTTCAATAAAATCTATAAATTACACTATTTTTTTAGTAAAATTTATCACAATTCTAATGAAAAAAATATTTTTTTCCAAAAAATTCTGGAAAAATTCCCAGTGTGAAAATTATGAGAAATTTCTAGCATTTTGTAAATCAAGAGAATATTTATTACCATGTAAATATTTATTATTTTTTGGGGAGTGACAGAGAGGCTCTTTCTTAATATTAACATGAAAGTTAACAAAACTGTTGGGGGGGGGGGATGGTAATTAAAAGTGATGATTTACACTGTGTACGTCGACATGATTTACACTACGTCGACATGATTTACATTGTTTACGTAGACATGATTTACACTGTTTACGTCGACATGATTTACACTGTTTATGTAGACATGATTTACATTACGTAGACATGATTTACACTGTTTATGTAGACATGATTTACACTGTTTATGTAGACATGATTTACATTATGTCGACATGATTTACACTGTTTACGTCGACATGATTTACACTGTTTATGTCGACATGATTTACACTGTTTACGTCGACATGATTTACACTGTTTACGTCGACATGATTTACACTTTTTACGTCGACATGATTTACACTGTTTATGTAGACATGATTTACACTGTTTATGTAGACATGATTTACACTGTTTATGTAGACATGATTTACATTATGTCGACATGATTTACACTGTTTACGTCGACATGATTTACACTGTTTATGTCGACATGATTTACACTGTTTACGTCGACATGATATACACTGTTTATGTAGACATGATTTACACTGTTTATGTAGACATGATTTACACTGTTTATGTAGACATGATTTACACTGTTTATGTAGACATGATTTACACTGTTTATGTAGACATGATTTACATTATGTCGACATGATTTACACTGTTTACGTCGACATGATTTACACTGTTTATGTAGACATGATTTACATTATGTCGACATGATTTACACTGTTTATGTCGACATGATTTACACTGTTTACGTAGACATGATTTACACTGTTTATGTAGACATGATTTACACTGTTTATGTAGACATGATTTACACTGTTTATGTAGACATGATTTACATTATGTCGACATGATTTACACTGTTTATGTCGACATGATTTACACTGTTTATGTAGACATGATTTACACTGTTTACGTCGACATGATTTACACTGTTTATGTAGACATGATTTACACTGTTTATGTAGACATGTTTTTACACTGTTTATGTAGACATAAATTTTTTTACACTGTTTATGTAGAAAAGATTTACAACTGTTTACGTCGACATGATTTACATTGTTTACGTTGACATGATTTACGTTGTTTACGTCGACATGATTTACACTGTTTACGTAGACATGATTTACACTGTTTACGTCGACATGATTTACACTGTTTACGTCGATATGATTTACACTATTTATATCGACATGATTTACACTGTTTACGTCGACATGATTTACACTGTTTACGTCGACATGATTTACACTGTTTATGTAGACATGATTTACACTGTTTATGTAGACATGATTTACATTATGTCGACATGATTTAAACTGTTTACGTCGACATGATTTACACTGTTTATGTCGACATGATTTACACTGTTTACGTCGACATGATTTACACTGTTTACGTCGACATGATTTACACTTTTTACGTCGACATAATTTACACTGTTTATGTAGACATGATTTACACTGTTTATGTAGACATGATTTACACTGTTTATGTAGACATGATTTACATTATGTCGACATGATTTACACTGTTTACGTCGACATGATTTACACTGTTTATGTCGACATGATTTACACTGTTTACGTCGACATGATTTACATTGTTTGTGTAGACATGATTTACACTGTTTATGTAGACATGATTTACACTGTTTATGTAGACATGATTTACACTGTTTATGTAGATATGATTTACACTGTTTATGTAGACATGATTTACATTATGTCGACATGATTTACACTGTTTACGTCGACATGATTTACACTGTTTATGTAGACATGATTTACATTATGTCGACATGTTTTAAACACTGTTTATGTCGCCCGATTTACACTGTTTATGTAGACATGATTTAAAACTGTTTATGTAGACTGATTTACACTGTTTATGTAGACATGATTTACACTGTTTATGTAGACAATCTACACTGTTTTACGTCGACATGATTTAAACACTGTTTATGTAGACATGATTACATTATGTCGACATGATTTACACTATTTATGTAGACATGATTTACACTGTTTATGTAGACATGATTTACACTGTTTATGTAGACATGATTTACATTATGTCGACATGATTTACACTGTTTATGTCGACATGATTTACACTGTTTACGTAGACATGATTTACACTGTTATGTAGACATGATTTACACTGTTTATGTAACATATTTACAACTGTTTATGTAGACATGATTTACATTATGTCGACATGATTTACACTGTTTATGTCGACATGATTTACACTGTTTATGTCGACATGATTTACACTGTTTATGTAGACATGATTTACACTGTTTATGTAGACATGATTTACACTGTTTATGTAGACATGATTTACACTGTTTATGTAGACATGATCTACACTGTTTACGTCGACATGATTTACACTGTTTATGTAGACATGATTTACATTATGTCGACATGATTTACACTGTTTATGTCGACATGATTTACACTGTTTATGTAGACATGATTTACATTATGTCGACATGATTTACACTGTTTATGTCGACATGATTTACACTGTTTACGTAGACATGATTTACACTGTTTATGTAGACATGATTTACACTGTTTATGTAGACATGATTTACACTGTTTATGTAGACATGATTTACATTATGTCGACATGATTTACACGTTTATGTCGACATATTTACAACTGTTTTTATGTAGCCCAAGATTTACACTGTTTCCCGTCAAACATGATTTACACTGTTTATGTAACATGATTTACACTGTTTATGTAGACTGATTTACAACATTTATGTAGACATGATTTACACTGTTTATGTAGACATGATTTACACTGTTTACGTCGACATGATCTACACTGTTTACGTCGACATGATTTACACTGTTTATGTAGACATGATTTACATTATGTCGACATGATTTACACTGTTTATGTCGACATGATTTACACTGTTTACGTAGACATGATTTACACTATTTATGTAGACATGATTTACACTGTTTATGTAGACATGATTTACACTGTTTATGTAGACATGATTTACATTATGTCGACATGATTTACACTGTTTATGTAGACATGATTTACATTATGTCGACATGATTTACACTGTTTACGTAGACATGATTTACACTGTTTATGTAGACATGATTTACACTGTTTATGTAGATATGATTTACACTGTTTATGTAGACATGATTTACATTATGTCGACATGATTTACACTGTTTATGTCGACATGATTTACACTGTTTATGTAGACATGATTTACACTGTTTACGTCGACATGATTTACACTGTTTATGTAGACATGATTTACACTGTTTATGTAGACATGATTTACACAGTTTATGTAGACATGATTTACACTGTTTATGTAGACATGATTTACACTGTTTACGTCGACATGATTTACACTGTTTACGTCGACATGATTTACACTATTTATATCGACATGATTTACACTGTTTACGTCGACATGATTTACACTGTTTACGTCGACATGATTTACACTGTTTATTTAGACATGATTTACGCTGTTTATGTAGACATGATTTACATTATGTCGACATGATTTACACTGTTTACGTCGACATGATTTACACTGTTTATGTCGACATGATTTACACTGTTTACGTCGACATGATTTACACTGTTTTACGTCGACATGTTTACATTTTTTAACGTCGCATAATTTACATGTTTATGTAGAATGATTTACACTGTTTAAATGTAGACATGATTTAAACACTGTTTGGGTCGACATGATTTACACTGTTTATGTCGACATGATTTACACTGTTTACGTCGACATGATTTACACTGTTTATGTCGACATGATTTACACTGTTTACGTCGACATGATTTACACTGTTTACGTCGACATGATTTACACTTTTTACGTCGACATAATTTACACTGTTTATGTAGACATGATTTACACTGTTTATGTAGACATGATTTACACTGTTTACGTCGACATGATTTACACTGTTTATGTCGACATGATTTACACTGTTTACGTCGACATGATTTACATTGTTTGTGTAGACATGATTTACACTGTTTATGTAGACATGATTTACACTGTTTATGTAGACATGATTTAAAACTGTTTATGTAGATATATTTACAACTGTTTATGTAGACATGATTTACATTATGTCGACATGATTTACACTGTTTACGTCGACATGATTTACACTGTTTATGTAGACATGATTTACATTATGTCGACATGATTTACACTGTTTATGTCGACACGTTTTACACTGTTTATGTAGACATGATTTATATTATGTCGACATGATTTACACTGTTTATGTCGACATGATTTACACTGTTTATGTAGACATGATCTACACTGTTTACGTCGACATGATTTACACTGTTTATGTAGACATGATTTACATTATGTCGACATGATTTACACTGTTTATGTCGACATGATTTACACTGTTTACGTAGACATGATTTACACTGTTTATGTAGACATGATTTACACTGTTTATGTAGACATGATTTACACTGTTTATGAAGACATGATTTACATTATGTCGACATGATTTACACTGTTTACGTCGACATGATTTACACTGTTTATGTAGACATGATTTACATTATGTCGACATGATTTAACACTGTTTATGTCGAACATAAATTACACTGCTTACGTAGAACATGATTTACCTGTTTATGTAGACATGATTTACACTGTTTATGTAGACATGATTTACACTGTTTATGTAGACATGATTTACATTATGTCGACATGATTTACACTGTTTA